AATAAATAAATAAATAAATAAATATTTGGAGCACTGGAGCTATTACCTGGGAATTTGGAGGATTGCAAACTCCACATTTAATCTATATTTCATGTAGTTTCTATATACTTTTAAAAGTGCATAGTATCTGCTTTTAAATAAGTTAAAATAAATTCTAAAAATAAGAAAAAGTAACTTCATTTTTTTGTTTCTTATCTACCAACAATTCATCTATATTTGCCTGATAGTACATCTCTGCTCTCCTGTATGTCTCTTGAAAGGATGTTTTTGTAATCCAGCCTCTAGAATATTATTTAACAATCCTCACTTCAATAATTTCCTTTTCTGATTTGACAGTGCTATCCTAGATCTGTTTACTCCATCATATGCCCACTGAGCTCAAGTAAACACGCTTTCATAAATAATTATAGGATTGCATCCTGAATCTATTTAATGTTAACACAGAATTAATTTCACAATAAGAATGACTTTAATAAAAAAGAAATGGCAAAAAGTCCACAAAATAATCAACTGTTCTTTCTGTTCTCCAAAACCAAATATTTTTAGATGACAAATCCATGATCAGATCTCTGGTTAGGTCTGAAGCAAATGGAAAATTAAGAAGGCAAAGGGTGTCTGAGAGGTTTTTTTCCAAATGATACAATGCTGCATATAAATTGAGAACTCATATTCAGTACTTGTTCCCATATTTAGAGCATATTGTAAAATTATTTCAACTGACTTAGAAGTGATGAAATGGTGCATCACGGGTTTTATTAACAAACACAAAAACAATGGAAAGTGCCTATTGTTTAAAAAAGGATGGACGGTAGATTTGTTACATTGACGATGTAAGAAATTTGAAGGTTCTGTTAACTCATATGATTTGATCCCGTTATAGCTTTGTTTTGGCTTCAAATTACTACAGAAGTTAATATAATTTGGCAAAGAAATATTATAGTTAAGATTCTTTATGTGATGTTGAATTATATTCCTAAAATCTGGAATATGTTACCTCATGAAGTTCACTCAAGAGGATAATTTTCAATAATTGGAAAGAAAGTTAGTCTCTTGATTTTAAGAATATGAGTTTATTATCTGTTTTTTAAAGTCTCTGTGTTTAAAAATAGGGAGATAATATAATATGTTGCAAGATTGTCTAGGTTTAATATAAGCTTAATTATTGAATTCACTTTATATAGGTACCTATAGTTATTATATAGATCTTTTTCTGTTAGAATTTTTGGTTACATTTTATTATTTTAATCACTATAATTTGTTGTTGTTTT